CAACAATGGACCACCTGCACACAGGTGTGCCAACAATGGACCACCTGCACACAGGTGTGCCAACAATGGACCACCTGCACACAGGTGTGCCAACAATGGACCACCTGCACACAGGTGTGCCAACAATGGACCACCTGCACACAGGTGTGCCAACAATGGACCACCTGCACACAGGTGTGCCAACAATGGACCACCTGCACACAGGTGTGCCAACAATGGACCACCTGCACACAGGTGTGCCAACAATGGACCACCTGCACACAGGTGTGCCAACAATGGACCACCTGCACACAGGTGTGCCAACACCAAGGCAGAAGGCATCAACAATGACCTTGTCACTCTGGGAAAGGTCAAAGGTCATTTAGGGTCCATCACTCCACAGAGAGAACGATTATTCCCAAGTTAAAAACAAACAGCTGCTAACATCCACCCAACCCTGCTGCTGGTTTCACTGCAGCTAAACTACAACTCCCATCATGCACCAGTTGTCTGTAGGAACACAACACTCAGTTCTGTTCCTGCAGCAGGTTTGTTGTGCTTTTTAATCATTTAGAATAACTAAATAAAACAATTAGATTTTTAACAAGAATTCTTGTTTCTTGCCTTTCATGTTTTAACTTTGAATAAGTTTTTAACTTAATGAATTCACCCTAAAGGTCAGACCCTGCAATTCTCAGAGATTGATAAAAACCCTGAAACAAAACAAAGTGGATTTTCTTTTCTCCACAGCTGCATCCAATAAGAAAACAGCATCGACACGGAGCCAGGATCCGATTTATTGACGGTGGTGATGCAATCGATGAGGTTCACAGATGTTTCAGTTCAACAGTGATCCTGAAATAAAGCTGTGCAGAAGAAAAAACATGACACATATTATACAGTTCAATATTTTCACACTCTGGGAATAATTACAAACATTTACAAGTCAGTTAAAATGGTTTAAAAAAAAACGTCTCACTTGGTTTTTAAACAGATTTAAACACCATCAAGTCAAAGATGGTTAATTTAAAGTGTCAAGGCACAAATTAACTTAGAACAAGTCGAGCTTTTTGATCAAGGCAAACAAAAAACGAGCACATTTGTTGCCACTTGTTAACAATAATTAAATAACTTAAGTCTGCAGAGTTACAAAAACAAACAACAGCTGGAGCTTCTTCAGCCTGATCCGGGTCAGAGTTCTGTTTCAAAGATCCGGGTCTCTTCAGGCAGAAGGTTCATAAAAACACTTCGATCTGCAGGAAACCATCAGACGTGTTCCACAGAGAAACCTTTGTTTCCTTCAGTTTAGTCCCAGGAAATAAAAACTATGGTTTTATTTGTTTTTATTTTGTTGTTCCTTCATGCTAATGGAACAGGTTCTACCAGAACACTAAACTAACCCTGCAGGGATAAAACCAGTGTTCTAACTGGCAGCAGTGTGAATCATGTCAGCGTAAGCACGAAGTTAAACCTCATTTTTTACTTTTATATCTGAGACTTCAGAGCTTCAGCTGCAGACGTGGATTCTCTTCTACCTTATAAATAAGATCCAACAGAGGTCACAGAGAAAACCCTAAACTGACACAAAGACCAACGAGCAGTGCATCAATCCAGCCTTGATAGTCTTGAGATTCCTTCAACCGTCTGCACATTCAGATGCAGCGAAGCAGAAGCAGAACCAGAACAGAACCGAGCCTCCTCATGGTTCTGAGACGCAGCAGAGACTCTGTGTCCTCAGCTTTAAACAGATTCTGAAGACACCTGAGTACAGGACACACCTGTGCTCACGTTAGTTTACCAGTTTAACCATTCTGTTCAACCTAAAGCTAAAATTGATTTTTATTTATTAATATTTAGTTATTTAATTTAGTCAGTCTCATGTTTACTCAGTGATTTATATTTAATTATTTTGGTCAGTTTTATGTTTACTCAGTGATTTATATTTAATCATTTTAGTCAGTTTTATGTTTACTCAGTGATTTATATTTAATTATTTTGGTCAGTTTTATGTTTACTCAGTGATTTATATTTAATTATTTTGGTCAGTCTCATGTTTACTCAGTGATTTATATTTAATTATTTTAGTCAGTCTCATGTTTACTCAGTGATTTATATTTAATCATTTTAGTCAGTTTTATGTTTACTCAGTGATTTATATTTAATTATTTTGGTCAGTTTCATGTTTACTCAGTGATTTATATTTAATTATTTTGGTCAGTTTCATGTTTACTCAGTGATTTATATTTAATTGTTGTGACCTCTGGGTTCTGGGCGTCTGAACCTCACAAGCTGAAGCTTCGGTGGTGCTGCTTGGAGAACTGATGCTGACGCTGTTTGGCCGTTGTTTCTGTCAGTTTGTCTCTCTTGTTGACCGCCGCTCCTCTCTCCTTCTCCCCCTCGTCCCCGGTCACGCTGCCGACGTCGCTGAGGTCTCCCAGGTGCTCCACGGAGTCGTACTTCTCCAGGTCGGAGGCGATGGTCTGCAGGCTGAAGACGGAGAGGGAGTCGGAGCCAGCTCGCTCCCTCTCCTTGTCGTGGTCCTTGTATCGCTCCAGCAGATCCATGGCTGCGTCCAGACGCTCTTTACCCGCCGCTCCGCCGCAGGCACCGCCCTCCTCCTGAACCGTGGAGTCGGACTCGGCGCCGACGGGGGGGCTCCGCCCACCGTAGATGATAGGAAGTCCTCCCTCGACCAGGTCCCGCCCCCTCTGAGCGTGGATCTGCTCGCTAATTTGCTCCAGGTTCCTCAGAGCGATGGAGTAGCGTGTTTTCACTTTGGAGACGTTCTGTTCCAGCTGCAGAACTTTGGTTTTATGGTCCTGGAGTCACACACAACAGATTTTACACCAAAGACTCTTTTCCTACTCGTTAAAGGTTTCAAGCATTCAGTTAGTTTTACCTCCAGGATGTTGTTTAACTGAGCCTTCAGCTCAAAGTAGGGTTTGGACTTCAGGATGACCCTCTTCAGGGACTTCTGCAGCATCTGGACCCGGGCCTCGGCCTCCTGACAGGAGTGTGTGACGCGCATGTGTTCCCTCTCACTTCGGATTCTCTCCTCCTCGGCTTCATTCACCTGCAGGAGGAGGAGGAGCCCAGCACGTCAGGCTTTACTGTTACCTGAGTTCTTCAACATTTTACAGCTCCACACTTCTCCAGACTCACGTCTTCAGATTAAAACATCCTGCTGACATGATTTATGCAGCTGTTAGCATGGATCATATTTTAATTAACTGTATTCATATTTGTAGTTTTTAATCTTAGTTGTATTTTACTGCAGTTTATGTACAGTAAGGAGTCTGGAAACACAAAAACCTTCACATGTAGAGGATTCATTTGACCTTTGGCCCGTTTCTTCAACATCAAAGTCTGTTTTTTCCACATCAAAACATGTTTCCTCCACATCAAAGCGTTTCCTCCACATCAAAGCATGTTTCTTCAACATCAAAGCATGTTTCCTCCACATGAAAACATGTTTCCTCCACATGAAAACATGTTTCCTCCACATGAAAACATGTTTCCTCCACATCAAAGCGTTTCCTCCACATCAAAGCATGTTTCTTCAACATCAAAGTCTGTTTTTTCCACATCAAAACATGTTTCCTCCACATCAAAGCGTTTCCTCCACATCAAAGCATGTTTCTTCAACATCAAAGCATGTTTCCTCCACATCAAAACGTTTCCTCCACATCAAAGCATGTTTCCTCCACATGAAAACATGTTTCCTCCACATCAAAACGTTTCCTCCACATGAAAGCATGTGTCCTCCACATCAAAGCATGTTTCCTCCACATCAAAGCATGTTTCCTCCACATCAAAGCATGTTTCCTCCACATCAAAGCATGTTTCCTCCACATCAAAGCATGTGTCCTCCACATGAAAACATGTTTCTTCCACATGAAAACATGTTTCTTCCACATGAAAACATGTTTCCTCCACATCAAAGCATGTGTCCTCCACATCAAAACATGTGTCCTCCACATCAAAACATGTTTCCTCCACATGAAAACATGTTTCCTAAACATCAAAACGTTTCCTCCACACCAAAACATGTTTCCTAAACATAAAAAAGTTTCCTCCACACCAAAGCCTGTATCCACTGTTACCTTGGAGGTGGCGTGGTTCAGCATCTCCTGCCAGGTGGGGTCCAGCGTGTTCTTTCCGTCAGCCATCAGGCCCTGCTCAGCCACGTACACCATCTCCCTGGCGGCTGTGTGCATAGAAACGGCTCGCTCGTAGCTCAGGGCTGCCTTCTGGGTCTCCTGCTGAGCCTACAGGTGAGCAGGTGGACGGTTTAACTCAGGTGAGCTGTAACGAGGACTCCGCTGAGCAATTACCAACAAATATCAAGTCTTAAGATTGTTATATGTTTATAAATCCATCAAGAATAAACAATAAAGGAATCTTTTTACTTTAGAAACTTAACTGAGTGATGTTTCTGCTGCTGTGGGATTAAAGATGGAGGTTTTAAGTTTCCAGACAGGAAACATGGATTGTTACCTCTTTAGCCAGGCGGCGGGCTTCGTAATAGGGCCGGGCCTTTTCGATGCAGCTGCCGAGCTGCGAGCTCTGAGCATTCAGCTTCCTGGCAGACTCGGTGAGGATCTTCCTGTAGCACGACCTGGCATCCTTCACGGTTAATGCACACACAAATGAAACGATTAGATTAACCTGGACCGGAACATCAGGTCCGATTTCATGCAGGAGAACCAGCTGGAAGCGGAGAATCAATTCACGCAGCGCCAGACTGACACCACGCACGTTTTCGCCCACTTCAGGAGCTGAAACCTTTTCCAAACGAGGCTTTTCCCATCCCGACTGGATGAATTAATAATTTACTCATTTATACTCACATCCAGCTCCAGCTCTAGTTTGTTGATTTCTGTGCTGGCTTCATTCAGGTGCTCCAACTCTTCCTGTGTCCAAAACAAACAAAACGTTAAATTTATAGAACAATAATTTAATGTTTGTCCCCATTTTTAATCCATAAGTTGCATCAGTGATGGACTGAAACTGGAGGATGAATCATTGAACAGGTATGAAGCGATGACTCAATCCTGACAGGATTATAATCTCCCTGACCTCGCAACCGGATTAGCAGAGATTATTGTAAATTGTAATTAAAACAAAGTGAACAATAAATAATGAATAAGCAGCCTCTCCGTTAGGCCTATAAACCCAGAATAATCCACCAATAATTAAATATCTCCCGTCTTATGAAGGTTAAATTCCCGCTGACAGGTAACCATTAGATGCCCGCGGGTCTCACCTGAATCCGGGGGTCCAGCTCCTCTTCATACGGACCGTGCACCGGTTCCCCGGGGCCTTTTTGGTTTTCCTCCTCCCTGCAGGTGTCTTTCAGCTCCGCCTCTGCTTTCGGTCCTTCGGTTTCAGCAGCTTCCTCCCCGGGGGTCACCTCCCGCCACTCGCCCACATCTGACTCCCCGGAGCCGGCGGGGCTTTCACGCAAGTCGCCCGGCTCCATTCCAGGCCGAGCGGCAGTTTCTGTTTCCAACCCTCAAGATGACGCGTTAATGTCCGCGTTTCGAGCCCCCTGCTCGTCTAACAGCTGCTGAAAACTGTGCGGATTTGAATCAGAAAGCACTCGTAGCAGGAACGTAAAACGAGCTTGAAACAGCAGCCATTTCCACATGAACTCCTCTGCAGCCGACTAGCCTTTAGCGTGCTAAAAGCTAACCCCGTAAAAACCCATCGCGACTTATTATTAGCCTAGCGTGCTAGTTAGCTAACACCGTAAAACGTCACGGTAGATTGTTAGCCTAGCTGAGAAGCTAACAGTGTAGCCAGTTAGCCTAGCCTAGCGTGCTAACAGTTGTTTTTCCAGCGAACAGGTAAGACCTCACAGCTGCCGGGAGGTGCAGAGTCGAAGGAGGTTTATCCCCCTTTAAGCCCCCTCGATCCTCCATCTCCCTCCCCCCTGGTACCTCAACACCTCAGCTAGGCTAACCAGCTAGCTGTGTCGGCCTCGCATCACTCCTGACAACAGTCCTGCTGCTGTCTGAGGAGCGTCCGTTTGAACCTAAACGGCCACCGTAGACACGAAACAGCCGACTGACAGCATCAGTTTGAGCGATTTTAACAATGTTACAGTGAATTTATCATCTTTAAACTCATCAGTGCTTGTTTCTCTTTTTTCTGAAGCGTGATTTTGGTTTTAAAGAAAATCCATCCATCCATCCATCCATCCATTTTCTTCCGCCTATCCGGGGTCGGGTCGCGGGGGCAGCAGCTTCAGAAGGGAGGCCCAGACC